TGTAACCCGATATATTTCGTCCAGATCAGTCAGACAACTCAGTTTTCAACAGGAAAACACAATAACTAAGACGCAACTATTCTATTCGGTTAAATGTTGTTGTTGTGGCATGTGATCGAAGCAATACGAAATTCTCTATCATCATGATATCTCACCCATTACAATTCACTAACCAGCAATAATATGTCCCGTGTGGTCAGATAACACGACTTTCAATACGCAAACACAAAAGCAACGACACAACTATTCCATTGATTATATATTGGTGTATAATTAGACTGTTGTGGCACCACAATTCTGGCATGGCGTCATTCGAGAATTGTGTTGGGAGATGCAAGGTACGTTCATGTCATGCATGTTCTGCTCGGTGTTCATGTCCAGGTGTTCATGTCCATGTTCTTCTCGGTGTTCATGTCCATGCTCTGCTCTATGTTTATGTCCATGCATGTTCTTCTCGGTGTTAGGATAAAATAGCAATCTGAGTGCAAAGTGACGGACTTACTAAATGCACTGCAGCACGCACAGGGAGGCTGTTGCACACCGTTCCTACCCCGACAGTAAGTTGCTCCCTACGGTTTCCTTAGCACTCACTACAGATAACGACGGAAATAATTGCCAAGTGGTACTCCGCAGAATCTCGGAATATTATTATACAAACGCCATCAATTGAAATGCCGAAAATTTCACACATTTTAGCCAATGGGTGACCTTTGTCACCACTTTAGCCTTTCCCGAAGAACTCAACAAGTGTGTGCCAACCACTTGATGTTGGTGTGATGGGCCCCCTGAAGAGCAAGTTGCGCAAGAAGTGGCTTACGGAGAAGCCAGTCGTCACTGCAGCGGAGAAGCATTTGGCCATGATTCAACGAACTATTCAAGCTTGGGAAGAAATGCCATGCGATCTCATTCGTAGCTCCTTTGAGAAGGCGCTGCCGCAAGTGTTTTATGTTGTAACCTTAACGGGGAATCAATTCATTTTTTTTACTCACAGTACCAGCTCATTTGATATTTTGGCTCGTTGACGTCGTCGTCGTTACTTAATATGCTTGCTATTGGTTGAAAATTGGCCAATCAGGCATCTGTCCTACGTTTGGTTCCAATTTAATACACAGTGGTACTTGAATCGTAATAACAATATTGACCATACAAATTTCTAGATATTTGAAGAGTACCACTTATCAATTATTTCCGTCGTTATCTACTCAAGCAGTGCACTGTAGTTTTTACTGCGAACTTCCTCTGTTCCAGGTTACTGCCGACATTACTTTGAATTGACACAGCCAATCGAGCCCTCACCCAATTTGGGCGAATGACAATTTGTTTGAACCGGAATTGCATGCATTTTCGCAAAAGATTGGTTTATAATCAGCGCTTAAAGCAATTGTAAACCAATGAAATGTAATAAATATTCGAAATTGGGAGAAATTGAAGAATTACAGCCAATGAAATGCAACTGTCGCCAGTAATTCGGAACATGCGAATTTTGAAATGTCGGCGGCAGTACAGTAACAGTAACCTGGAACAGAGGAAATACAAACGTTTTACAGT